ACACACACACACACACACACACACACACACACAGAATTGCTTTCGATTATCTGGTCTTGTTGGCTCATTCTGGAAGAAATAAGGCTTGTTTCCCCTCCTACATGATGATCTTACTGTTACTCGGTTTCCTCCCAAAGACTTTCACCTGCTTCCTTTCTTCTTGGGCACACTGCACAAAGAAATGCTTTCTTAAAACTTCCTAGGGTGAGCATTCTAGGATATTTTTTGTAATTCATTCATTCCCTAATAATGTATAGCAAGAAGCAGGATAAAGGCAGCAGCAAATGTCGAAAAGGATGACAGAAACCAGGGTGCCCAAAGCAAAGCTATTTAATCAAAAGCTATTTGTGCATCCAGGGAACCAAGAGGGCTGTACAAAATAATTTTAGAAATGAGGGGTGGGGGAAATGTCACTGGTAAATTTCCAGGAATTTCAGAAGAGTCAAGACAGGGAATAGAAGCACCCTTTGAAAGCTGCTTTTCAGTAGATCTGCATTTAAAAAAAAAAAAGCTTGAACCTTCGTGCTTTGAGCTTTGATATCAAACATAAGTAGCACCATGCAGAAAAGAATTCCACCTAAATACGCCATCAAGTCTCCTCCAGGAAATAGCATGCTGCTACTTGTCAGGTCCCAGTGGTTGGTTGGCTGTTTATCCTCCAAGCACCCTGTGTGGCCAATTAGGAACAGTACTGGCAGTACCCTTAGAGCTCTGCCAAGGGAGTCTTTTTTCAACCACCCCCCATCTTTCCCTTTTCCCTCCTCCTTCCCCATTATGATGCATTTTATCAGTGTAAAAGACACATGTGTCAGAAACACTGATGCAATGAGACGCTAATATCAAGTTGCATCATATGATCCTAGGTGTGGTGCCATGAAACTGGTTTTTCTTGAGGCTGTGCTGCTGTAGAAAGGCACCTTGGGTCTAACACCTGGGAACTGGCCCTACTTGTCAGAGGACAGGATTTTTGTGAGTCCATGCCTCAATTCCACACCATCATCCATTGGAATTCAGTGTGACTCTGGTCGCAACGGGTGTGCTACCGCAAATGCATTCATCCGTGAGGTGTGCCGCAGTTCCTCTTACGTAACAAGTATAAAAGCAAGTTGCCCCTACCCAGGCAAGCTGGAAGTGACACTGCCTCCTCCAGAATATGCCATGAATTTGCTCTCATTTTAATTGAGCAACTTCTCTGGGGGCAGCATGGTCTGGCAGAAAAACCTGGAGAGAAGAATGAAGAGAAGGTGACTGAGACTTCTGGACACTTACTGGGTGCCTAGAGAGTTCTTGGGTGGTTAAGTAATTCACCCCAAAAGTAGTAAGGAATTGCCCTGCCAACACAAAGGCACACAGTTCAAATCCACTGGCTGCTCCATGGGAGAAAGATGGGCAGTCTCCTTCTTTGTGATTTACTGCCTCTGAAAATCCACCAGACGGTCATCTATGAGTCGGTTCCAACTCAACAGTGTGCAACAACAATTCAAAAGGTTGGAGGTTCGAAACATCCAGAGATAAGGTGAAAGAAAGCCCCGGGGATCTGCTTTTGGAAGGTCACAGCCTTGAGAACTCTGTGCACCTGGGTCACCATGAGGCAGGATCCACTCCACAGCAACTGACTTGGTTTGGTTTATGAGGTGCTGGGCACTGTGCCCATCTTCTCACACTCAGAACTGTGGGAATGTGGTTTGCAGCTGCCCGCCTGCCTTCTTGGGAACTACTACAGGCTGCTTGGCCTCTTCTGGTCTTCAATAAAAGGAGCCTGCTGGAAGGTCAGCAGTTCAAATCCACCAGCTGCTCCTCAGGAGGAAGATGAGTGGCCTCCTCCTATATTCCAACGCGTTATTCACAGCCTTGGAAACCTGATGGAGGGTCACTGTGAGCTGGAATCAAGCGTGGCAGTGAGTTTGTTTTCTTCAGTAGAGACCTGATGGAGCAATGGTTAAAAGAGCACAGTTGCTTCCACTTTCACCAACCACCCTATGGGAGAAAGCTGAGGTTTTCTTCCATCAAGATTGGAGTAAACCCCAAAGAAACCATAGCCGCCACCCAAGCAGATATATGCACACTCATGTTTATCGTGGCTTTGTTCACAATAGCGATGAGTTGGAAACAACCTAAGTGCCCATCAACAAATGAATGGGTAGAGAAACTCTGGTATATTCATGTACTGGAATATTATGCAGCATTAAAAAATAAGGAACTCAGGAAATATTATTCAAAATTATGACCCTGGAGAACATTATGCTGAGTGAAATATCTCAGTCACAAAAGGGCAAATACTGCATAATGCCACTATTGTAAAACAAGACTGACATTAGGGTTGGGGGCAGGGGGAACTGAGAAAGATGGGATAAATAATGTATACTGCATTGAAACAGATGAGAGAGAGAGAACTGCTTAAAAGGGATATATAATTAGGTATTATTGTCAGGACAGGAGTCCAGAATGAAGGCTGCATAGTGGAGTGGACTTGGGAAGAGGGATTGTATAACAATGAAAGAATTTTTCCTTTACTTTTCAAAGAGAAGAACGAACTGGAGGGGAGAGGTGGACAGGGAGAAAAGTGTAACAATAAATAAATGAAAATCCATAATCTTTGTAAATTTTCACTAAAATTAATAATAATAATAATTTTTTTAAAAAAAAAGATTACAGCCTCACTGTGATACCTTGGAAACCTTGTGGGAGCAAGTCTACTCTGTGCTATGGGGTTGCTGTGAATCATAGTGCATGGCTTTGCTTTCAACACTAAATTTTATGACTCAGTGATAGGTATAGGATTATGAGATCTTCATCTCAGAGAAAGCACCTCTGTAAATCCTCAAACAAGGATCTCCCCGTCCATTGTCTTTTTAGGATCATGGAATATTAAATCCAGAAGTGGTGGCGAGAGAAATGTAGTCCAGACTCCGTTCCACCATCCTGCACATGGGGGAAGGGAGAACCCAGATGCAGAAGGTGCTGGGTTCAGAAAAAAATTACTGGTTTTCCTGTGAGAGAAGGATGGAAATAGAATGTGAGCCACAAACTTTTAGATGACCTCAGTGGGGTTCCCCAGGCTATGAATCTTTAAGAAAACAGACTGCCCTATTGTTCTTCCATGGGGTGGCTATGTGTTCAAACTGTTGACCTTTCAGTTAGCAGCCCACTGTTTGACCCACCATGCCACCACAGCTCCTGTTCAAATATCCTAGTCCAACTCTTTAGGTCCCCAGTCTCTGACCAGCTTCTGGGATTGCCTGGTGATTTGTCTTGTTTGAAGCAAGCAGCCAGGGCAGTCTGGTATGTAATAAGCTGTCAATAACTGGCTAAATAGTTTCCAGATGAAGAAATAAAGTCCAGAGAGGCTCTCTGAGCCCCTCAGCCCACACAGCTGGCTGGGAGTAGAGCCAAGAAGAGCATAGCCCTTTCGAACCAGCAGCATGTGATTTCTGGACCAGCAGCATCTGCATTGAGTGGATGCTTATTAGAACTACAGATTCCTCAGCCTGACTGCTGAGCCAGAACCCCCATTTTCATGGGATCCCCCTCCC